CTATAATGCTTTCTATTCCTGCATCCAAGTCACTAAATAAACTGTGTATAGTTGGGGCCCTAGGGCCAAACCCTCTGGTATCTCAGAATGAATATCAGACTCTAATGACTGAAGCTACTCATTTCCCATAAATTACAGACCCATAATTACCTGATTTCTCTATAAGGTCTATCTATCCCAAATCCCACAATTTTCACTGTTACATTTGTTTTACTTGTATTTAATCCAATCTTCCCATTTTTGATTTAGATTTTTGATTTCCCTTTTGTTTTTGGTATCTTTCTTTGTGAAAACAGATATAAAGTATGCATTTAATAAATTTACCATTTACTTTTTGCCTATTACAGTATTATCACTATGCTTGTCATCAATAGGATATTTCTCTTGCTGATGCCTTTGCATTTTGAAACATACACTTATCCATGAAGGTGGTAGCGCTAGTCACTAAGGCTGTATTGGAAGATTGTAAAAATAAGGAATCTTTATAAATCATCAATTAGGTTTCAGCTAGAATATACTATCTATTTCTGAACGCCACACTTAAGGAAGGATCTTAAAACCTTGGAGAATGTGCAGACGTGGTTTACCAGAATGGTACCAGGGATCAAAGATCACTCAGTGACTAGAGTTAAGATATTGACAAAAATTGTAAAGATTAATCATTTTATAAACCAAGATACTATTATCTGGAATGCATTGTCTGACCAGGTGTTGAATGTAGATTCCACATCTCAAAAGGCCTCTTTGTTCTCAAATTCCTTTATGACTTTGACCTTATTTCTGAGGTTCCTCTAGCCTTATTAAACTCTATGATTTCCAGTACTTCATTGATCTTGGCCTTTCCCACAGCCCCTTTTTAATAATTCTAACATTGTTGGTCATGGCTTCAGCTGTCTTGATCTTAAATGCTGAAATTCCCCTATTAAACTTCTCCATCTCTTTTGCCTAATTGGATATTAGTTAAAACCTACTTCTACCTGCCTTCATATCTTAAAACAAAAGCAAAAAACTGTAGATGCTGAAGATCCGAAACAAAAAAAAACAAATTGCAGGAGAAATTCAGCAGGTCTGGCACCATCTATGCAGAGAACGCAGAGTTAACGTTTCGAGTCTAGTGGCCCTTCTTCAGAACTGCCTTTATATCATCTTCTGTGACTTGCTATCAAACTGTATTTCCTAATACTCCCGTGGAGAGCCTAGGGACGTTTTACAAAGTTAAAGGTGTTACATATATAGAAGTTGTTGTTGCGAAAGGGAAGAGGGAGAGGGGAAATAGCAGAAGGACTAGTTGAGACGTCGGAAGAGACTGGGTCAAAGTCAATGAATAAATACGATTAGCTTTAACATTAACTTTTAAGTTTGTTTTTACGTTTATGTAAGTTATTGAGTGAGTTATACTAAAACTGAACCCTTTCGCACTCTTACTTGTACTTCGTCCGATTTGAGTTGTGAGTGCCAATGATAGGCAGTTGCGATCTGTTCACGTGACGCGGAGCATTGGCGCGAACCGGAAGTTATCAGTCGTCCGTTGGGAGCACGAGGCGGCCGCGAAGCTGTCAACGAATTTGGCTCGAGAGGACGGCCTGACCCCTGACCCGCAGGGAATGTGGATCTGACGGTCACGGAGAGCCAATCGAGAGTGAACGAGTCGGCAGTGTCATCTTCAGGGCCAAACAAGCCCGGTACAGTGAAAGTTTTTATTATTTATGGAGCTGCGGTCTGGGCTGACTGAGATTCGGGGGCCGGCCGCGGTTCCCGGGGAGGAAGCTATTCGGAAAGGAGGGGAAGCAGGGAGGGTAAGCGGTAGTGAAGAGAATTTCTGATCGGGTCAGTGAGGAACCCAACTCCTAAATTTTCCTATTATAAAACAAAGAACTGCGGATTCTGGAAGTCTGACACAAAAGCAGAAATCGCTGGAGAAATTCAGCATCCGAAAAAGTGTCACTGCACCCAAAACATTAACTCTGCTTTTTGTCCACAGATACTGCCAGACTTGCTGAGTTTCTCCAGCATTCTCTGTGTTTGTTGTCCTAAATTCTGTTCCGCTGCTGTGGAAGTAATTGTCTTTATGGTGTTATGTAAATGTTCCCGCGTGATTTCAAATAATGTCTGACTGGAAGTTAAACAGTAGAGCCTTAAACCACAGCTCGCTCGTGATCTGGAAATTTGAGATGCCAGTGTGAATCCCCACGTCAACCTGCTCCCTGGGTGAAGACTACGCACTGGTTGGCATGGAGAGGCACATTCATAGCCAACTCAGATTTTGTGCGATAAAAACAATAGGCGTCAAACTACGTCGTAAACCTTCACTTTTCATGTTCTTGAGGCTTAAGGAATGGACTGATCGCTTCATTCACTCTCGGAGAGTAATGGGTCTAAATAGTCGAGTTCAAGAGGAATGTAATAGTGTCTGGAACGGCTTTTAAGCTGAGAACAAGAGAGCGGATAATTGTTTTTATCGCTATCTGGAACCGAAGTGCCGAATTTTCAAAACGGACAAAATGAGTGCTGATCCTCCGGGTATTGGATGGAGACAAGGACGAAAGTGAAACTGAAATTTTGAATTCGGTTCAAACACATGAAACACAAGACTGAAATGATCCTCGGGCGTTCACTTACATTAAATTTTATTCTGCAGTTGGTTCCATACACCGTGTCTACATGTACTGAAGGTAAATCTATCAACTCCAATGATGGCTTTGTTTAATCTGCACCGGGAACTAACAGCAAGTGACTGACCTTCAGTATTACAGCGACAAAAAACGAATACGTTACAATTAATAGTTTCATAATTAATATAAATAGAATTAAATATGCTTTAAATAGCAGCTGGCACTGTCTGTACATTAAGGGTTTCATCCGAGAGTCGAACTTGTAATCAGTCTACAGGTGGGACACTACTTGTCATCTGTCAGAGTTCGTGGAGCAAGAATCAGAGGAGTGAATTAAATGTGGGAAGGTCGATGAACAGGCGGTACCAGCAGTGTTGCTCTCGGAGTCAGACCTTGGGATAAAGAGAGAAGACAATGAGCTAAGCAATCTACACTCGACGACAGATCCAAAATCTGAGTTAAATACAAAACATCTAACCCTTGGATGAGAAATTTAGGAGACCTGATTGCATTGAGTCAATTCACTTTGTTATGCGAGGTCTTGGCCGTCCTTTCAAATCAGGAGGGCAAATGAAATAATGATCTTCACCTCACTGGGCTGGAGTACAACGTAGTAGAAGTTGTAGCTTTTTAGAGCTCTGTGTAGACCTCATCTAGAGTACTGTATTTAATTCGGTTCTGAACATTGGACTTTAAGGAAGATATATTGGCATGTGAGGTAGTTTCCCAACTCAGTGGGTTATTTCAGAAAAAAAAACTCAGTCCAAAGTAGTCTAATTCGAGGTCTGTTTAGTAATATTAAACTATTCCCTTGTGGGGGTGACAGATTCATCAGAACTGTATTTTGCCTAAATGGGTTAAAACATTTGAAGACAGATTGCATAGACTAAGCTCTTATTCCTTTCAATATAGACAAATAATTGGTGATCTGATTGAGGCTTTAAGGTTAAAAGACTTCATAGCGAAGAGAGAAACCATTTTCTTTGGGAGAGTCCAGATGAAGAGGGCATAGTCCTAAACTTAATTCTAGGGCAGCGCAGATTTGTAACAACTTCAAAAAGTGATTGAAGCTGGGGATGTTAATTAAAATGTTCAAAACTAAGTTAACAGATTTTTATTTGGCAATGATAGTCAGGAATAAAGTCGGTAAATGAAGTTGCCATACAGCGACAAAAACTGAAATTGCTGGCAAAGCTCAGCAGGTCTGGCAGCATCTATGGAGAGAAAGAAGAGTTAATGTTTCAGGTCCAAGTGATCCTTGTTCGAAACTAATTGTAGCTAGGAAAAGATTGGTATACATGCTGAGGCTGGGGGATGGGGGAAGAAGTAAACGGTGGGTGGAGATGGAGCCCAGAGGGAGAGAAGAACAGTTCGGCAGATAAAGGAATCGGTAAAGGTCAGCCTGGGAGAATTAATAGCTGCTAACGGGTACCACTAATGGCTGACAATGGGTTGTTTGTGGTAGCAATCCATTTAGTGACACTATCTGGTGTGTGGAGGTTGGGGCAAGGACATAGGAAAGGGTGCTCAAGCACTAAAATTATTGAGTTTTGGGTATTTTTTTGCCGCGCAGAGACTTGGGGACGACATTGTCGGGTGGACGTGTCCAAGGTGCTGAAATTCAGAGCTTGAGGTGGTTTTGCGGGTTGATTTTCAACATTTGGAATGTCTGAGAAATGAACACGATGGCGTTCATTTGCTGAAATCAATCCGTCTTACATATTTTAACAATAGACGAAGAGATCGATGCTGTCCGGGGCAAAGATCAGCCTAAAATTAAGCAAAATACTGCGGGAGGTGGAGAGATCTGAAGTAAAGAGAGAAAATGCTGGAGAAACCTGTCAAGCGTGGTAGCATGGGTGTGTGTGTGTGTGTGTGTGTGTGTGTGTGGAGGAGGGTGGGGGTTTGGGGGGGAGAGAAAAACAGAGTTAACGTTTCTAGCCCATGACTCTTCTTTGGAATTTCACTTCCTCTAGCACTTTCTGCTTTTATTTCAGTATATAATTAGCCTAGAGCTAAGTTGGAATATGAAGACTGTTTAAAAAGGTACGGTGAAGGTGCAGGAATTAGCTTCACTGCCTATACTAAACACACCGTCACTGTTCCCTTACCATGGATACTTGATGATGAAAGGGAAGATGTGGGGGTAGGAGAGCTCCGATCCTAGCCTATCAATTACTTGCTACCCAGCCTAATGGGCTATTTTAGAAAAAATAGCTCAGTCCAAAGTAGTCTAATTCCAGGTGTATTTAGTAATGTTAAATCATTCCCTGGCGGTGTGTGGCTGAATGCTATATCTTTGAGTACTCCACTGTTTACGTGAACCATTCCAACTGTAAAAGACATCGGCAATGATTATCTCAACCGTTTTTACCTCTAACCAAGCCGCTAACAGCCCAGATTGCTCATAGCCCCGATTCTGTCCAGCTTCGCTCCGAAGCAGGGCCGTGATTTCTTACTTTTTCTCTTCCTTAAATTATTTTTCCGCAGAAAATTATTGCGGAGGTCTTTCAGGACACGGTCCAGGACTGCTTCCTGTTCGGTAGATTGCCTCTCCATCTCTCTGGCTTCGCGGTCCCAGGGAAGCTCCAAATCGGACAGGTCAGCGTTGAATTCGGAAATAGAAGCAGCTGGCGGTATATCTTGTGCCTCATTGTTCAGCTCGTCTGAGGGGAAGTACTGTCCATATTCATCTTCCAAAAGTCTGGATAAGGTCTGAAAATAAAATAAATGGATAGGATTTGGGGATCAGATCTAACTGTTCACAGTCATAGATTAGATAGGTTTTAGGATTTGCACCGAACATATTCAATAAACATGGCGATAAGATTGGAATGTGCAGTGTACAGCTCATCAAACACTGGAACATCAGTCAAGTAAATGTAGAAAAGAAGCAAAGAAGCCGTATAGTGCTCAAGTTAGTGACATCTAGAAACCAACTCCTTCACTGTCTATTGTTGGTTAGTCATACGAATGCTAGTCGCTGGCCCCCATCGACGATAGCTCTTCTGCGCTTCAATTCACTCACGCATTGTCAAGTAAACAGTTAAAACGTTGTGTTACCTGATTATTAACCGAAGACAATGAAGGGTAAAATACATTACTGACCTCGACTGTGTCTACTCCTAGCGGGTCAACAATACCGAAGTGGTCTGAGACCACTGCAGCAATTGGTCTAATTCAGCAGCTATTGCTTACTTTTTCAGTTGTAACCTACCTACTACAAGCGAATATGTCGTCCTTCCATTAACTTCTCCACTTACCTGAATGCTATCATCTGATCTTGGTCTGGCTTGGGCTTGGATCAGGAGCACAAGCAAGAGCCCGCAGTAGAAACTCGTTTGTCCGCTCATCTCTGAATTTAAAATTGAACCACTCTTCTCGAATGATTAGCTTCTTCACCTGCCTCCTCCTTCACAGCCTGCTTCTGTGCTTAGACTCTGGGTCTTTTATTTTCATTTTGGCTGACGTCATTCCAGTGAACATGATCCCAAATATTAATTAAATCATCTCATTCCGTCACTTCCCTCAGATAAGTGGACACATGGCAAAGTTTCATTTGTTCATTAACTGATATGATTTAATTATGGGATGGATTATTTTTAACCTATATAACCTCAGTTGCTCACATGAAGCCATTCTGACGACAAGAATTAATATTTTAAATAGTTTGAAATTAATTAGTTTTCAAGTCATTGGAAAGTATTTGTTATCTTTGGGTTTCTAAGTGCAGTGAAATGAATGCAACCATCGCATTGTCCAATTATGTCCTGACCTAACAGTTGGCTTTTTACATTAAAATAAACTGCTCAGTAAGATTAACTCAGGAATAACTGGTACAGGGATCTGTAAAAAGACAGCGAGGAATTTCCCATTTTGTAATTAACTGCTTTAACAATAAAGCAGTTGATTATAATAATCTCTTAATTAATATTCACAACATAAAACATGACTTTAAATCACTACATTTTCTGCATATTTCAAAAAACAACACGGTATATCCAGTAAACATCTTCCACTATCTGATGTAGTAGTCTGAATGGCACCGGTAGAAGCGACAAATCTGTGAGAAATATTCTCTGCATTAAGTGGATACAAGGAAAGTGACATTTTAACAGTTACCTTGCTCAGAAAGAATCAGATTCCAATACTGACATGTAGCAAGTCTGTTACATCTCGTGCCGTGACTGAGGGGGTCATTGATAGTTTAAGCATTTTAAATACGACTTTTATGTAAATACATTGGCAACTGCCACTAATGCATAATAACAGTGACTACAAAATGCGTGCTTATTGGCTGTGAAGCGCTTTTATGCGTCCGCAGGTATTGCAAAGTAAGAACTCTAATACTTTGCATGTATAGGTTTTGAATTTGTTCGTTGTTAGCGACGCACTGACTGATTGGAAGCAGAACAACAACAAAAACTCAGTCTTTTAGTGAAATGGTATCATGATGGAAGCATGATTTGAGGAGACATGAAATATGGGTTACACGCCGGATTTCATTCAGTTTACACGTACGCTGAATCTGTGAGAAGTTAATAAAGTCGCATGGCTATGAGATGTGACAGTGAACATCCTTACAAAAACTGTAACCTTTTAAAGAAATGACACTGGAAGCCACAGCCCATGGCTGCGTGGAATTCTTTAGGGGTTGTGTCATTGCATAGCAGATTACACTGTAGAATGCGGGAAGTTCTATAGAACTGTCAGCTATCTGACAGGAGATAATTGGATGGTCGAACCAGACAAATACTGGTTGCTTCTGCCCTGTCTCCAGTATCCCATGTTATTGTTAATTGCTATCAAATGGCGGTCAAGTAAATCTCAAACTATTTAGAACTATACTTGTTTGATTTTCGATTTTACTCAGCATTAACAACTTGGAATGCTGCCATTAGAAACTCATACCGATCCCGTTAATAACGCACGTTTGTGCATTTTAAGTAAATGTATGGAAAACATGAGATTCTTGCACTGTTTCACTGAAAGATTGGAGACGTGTTGGAATGTGCCTGGTCAATTTCATGTGTCACCTGCATCAATAGGAGAACACAATTTATACTTTAATGCAAAGGCAAAGTACTGCGGATGCTGGAAATCTGAAATAAAAAACAAAACCAGAACTGTCTGCTTGATCTACTGAATATTTTCTAATTATTCGTACTGTTTTATTATTCATTCCGGACAATTTTGTGTTGAAACGCACGATATTTCCATTTTAATAAATGCTTGTTACCAACTTTTTCTCACTGATTCTACTCAGTTAGCTGACATGTTTTCAAAAATGGAAGACTCTGTAAACTGTTGTATTCTCCTGGACACAAAAGTTTCAGACTGGGTGTCCAATGGTTGAAAGGTATTGGACTTTTTTATATATCAGACAACCTCATGCAAATAACTCTGCTAGGCAAAAATCGTGGCTTCCAATTTGTATTAAAACAGGTGGGTAATGTGGCCCTTCTGTAACTTGTGCTTTTTAAGGCTATACACAGAGCATCCCCCTTTCTCTCGGATGGTTGCGAAACAAGTTGGATGAAGGTGGAGTAGAGGTTGAAACTACAGATGGCTCGAAATCTACCCACTGATGTTTCGGATCTCATGTAAATTTCAGCATTTATCCAATCAAGGAATATTTAATCTAGCACTCATGACATCAATTGGACGTGTTTTTAGTGATTTAGCATATCACTAAAGTTAAGGAAACAAAAGTTTTATTGATTGTTCCACAATTTGATGGCTAAGTTTCCTTGAATGCTCCAAACATGATTTAAGCACCGAAAACTATGAATTTCCGAAAAGATTTTCCTGATGATCCATCCCGGAAAGTGCAGCGGAAACCACAAGAAAATGTATAGAAGACGTTTTTGTATTTTTTTTAGGTTTCCTTGGGCCTTCAATCGAAGCGATCGGCAGAACGCATGAGGGTTACGCCCTGGACCTGCAGTATATTCCTTGCGAAAAATAAATATTAACAGACTTCAACAATAAATGCCCACCCCGCCTGGCAATTGTTATTTCGCAGCTACGTTCCATTGGATTTGAAGCTGTTTTCATGTAGCCAAAACTACTAATCTGGTTAATAAACTCTGAAATAAAGCTTTCTCCTCTGTTGGACATGTCAATGCACATACTTCTATATGATTTTGTCTGTTGGATCGTTTTTGGGAGCCATGCAGGTGGCTATCCTTTGGTATAGACTGAAAGCCGCCAGGATGCGATTGTTAGACTTGATCAATAAATAAACCCTTTAATTGCAGGACATTTAACGACAATGTAAAGGGGACGTTAAAGTATTGTTGCAGTTCTGGAATCCACATTATAGCAGGGATGTCATTGCACTGGAGAGGATGCTGAGGAGATTTACCCGGATGTTGCCTGGTTTGGAGAGTTTTAGTTATGAAGAGAGATTGGACAGTCTGAGGTTGTTTTCCTCGGAACAGAGGCCGTGGGGAGAGGGTTGAGTGGGAGCATAATTGAGGTGTATAATATTATGAGGGGCATGGACAGGCAAGAAAAGAAATTTTTGGTGGAGGAATCAATGACCAGGGAGCATAGATCTATGGTAAGGGGCATGAGGTACGATAGAGGATGTGAGATTTTTTTCTCACCCAGAGGAATTACTGCCTGTAATGTGGTAGAGGCAGAAGCCCTCATAACGTTTAAGAAGCATTTGGGTGTATACTTGCCATGTCAAGGCATGTAAGGCTATAAGCTAAGTGCTAGAAAATGGGATTAGAGCAGTTTATTGACTATTTTTGACCAGAGCAGATTCTATAGGCCGAAAGGCCTTTTTCTGTGCTGTAGACCTGTATGACCCTAGGGCGGAATGGTGGCTCAGTGCTTAGTATTATTGTCTTGCAGCGCCAGGGTTCAGTGTTTAGATTCCTCCATCGGGTGAGTGTGTGTGGAGTTTGCACGTTCTCCAGGTGTTCAGGTTTCCTCCCACAGCCCAAAGATGGGTAGTTAGGTGGAATGGCTAAATTTCCCCGTGCGGGAGATGCGCACACTTGCGTGCATTAGAGCCTATACTGATCGGGAGGTGGGCTATCCTTCGGAGGGACGGTGGACTGAATGGTCTGTTTCCGCATTGTAGGGATTCTATGACGCTACGACACTAGGAATTAGCCTCCCATTACATCACTTGCCCAATTCCCCTTTCGGTCGAATTGAATGGCCCGTGTGATAACATCGCCCACAATTTAAAATTGCGCCATGAAAATGAATGCTTGCCTAGTTTAAAACTAATTAGCGTGGAAGGAGTTGCGTCTGCTTTTGTGTGGGTTCTGGGGTCGGGATTGATAATCATACTAACTTGACGCTGGTAAATTGTGTCAAACTTTTACGCCGCCATGAAAATTGTCTATCTGTCATGGTTGACGTTCACTTTCCCCTTGTTTTGATCTGACCTAAGTCCGCAAAAATGAAACGGTTTTTCTCTCCACGGGTGCTGTCAGACTGCTGAGCATTTGTAGCATTTTCCGAATTTATTTCAGATTTCCAGCATCCGTTCTATTATGCTTTTATATTTCTTGTTATGGTTTTGAATTGCACCCCGACCAAGTGTTTTTCAGTGCTTGATGAGATCTGTTCAATCTGGCGGTTCACAAGTGAACAATTAAAAACATAAACTATTTGGGCAAGAGAGACGCCAAGCCATATGAGTCATTTATTTCACTTTACTTCAGGAGGCTCATTGTAAAAATCTTTGAACAAGCGTATTACCCCGTTACATAAAACCTGTGTCAACAAACGTCCCCTGAATCTAACCCTTCTCTACATTTCCTCAGCGCGAGGTCTTTCGCGTACTGGGATCCATTACCCTGCTTATACAGCCTCTTAAAACAGGTTACTGAGAAGCCCCCACATGCTCTCTTACAGTATCACATTACGCAAAGAAAGCATCTTGCAAGACGGAAGAGTGGAAACCCAAGATAGGTCTACCTCTATTTGTCAGAAAAATGGCCATAAGGTGTCTCCCGTGAGTCTTGGATTTGCATGGGAAAAGGATCAGAGAGCCAATTCCAACATGACTTGTTGCAAGCATTCCAATAACAGATGCTTGAAAGCAACTGTAACCCAATACTCAGTTAGATACACCCACCCCAACACCATCAAACACACATACCACACATACCGGTAGTGATTAATTGTCTATTAGTCATTTAACAATTTGTGACCTCCATTAGTGAGAAGCTGATGTCAGAGACTCCTCCTGTAGTTCCTGGTGAACACACAACTTGAATGTATTGTTGCTATCTTTTTGACCACAGCATGTACAAATGCCACATACATTCTAACTGTGGTTTCACCTGTGGAAAGGTTAGGAACCTTAGCACAATCTGCTGCTGCT